TGATTGGTTCTTTTTTATATCTTCCATTTCTTTGTTGACATTCTCACTGAGTTCATCTATTCTTCTCCCCAGATCAGTGAGCATCCTTAACACTCTTTGTTTGACCTCTCTGTCAGATAAGTTGCTCATTTCTGTTTCATTTAGTTCCTTTTCTGGGTTTTTGTCCTGTTCCCTTACTTGGAGTGTATTCCTTTGCCTCCTCATTTTGCCTCCTTCCCTGTGCTTGTGTCTATGTATTAGTTAGGTCAGCTACATCTCCTGCTCTTGGATAGGTGACCTCATATAAGTGATGCCTTAGGAGGACTGCAGTGTGCTTCCTCAGTTCTCAATGTTCCAGGAGTGACCCCTATGTGGGCTATATGTGTCCTTCTGTTGTGGTGTGTTTGCTCTCCCTGTAGGCGCCCAGGAGCTGAGTTATGCTCCTGGCAAGCTGTGGTAATGCTCAGCTGCTTGTAGTTGTTGTGGGCCCTTCAGTCTCTGTATTGTGTGGGGAGCCCCAGCATAGTTGGCTGCAAGTTCTAATAGCACATTTGTGTTGCAGTATTTCTTTTTAGTGAGTAGGCCTCCAGCGTGGCAGGTTGTCAGGCTCAGGGGCTTACAAATGCTATAAGCCTCTAGCCTTTAGGTCTCCTGTCAGCTCTCTGAGGATTGCAGCTATGTGGGGCTGGCCTCAGGCACGGGAACACCCAATTGTTTCAGGCTTTGGAAGGTGGGGCAAAAGCCCTATGTGGGTCTTTGAGAAGCACAAGTCTTCTGCAGCTGACAAGCCATGTCGCCCACACGTCCACACACACAGTCAACACAGTCCTGTCCCGTGTACATGCCCCGACATCCTGAAGTGGACCCAGTCTCTCCACAGCGGAGCCCCACACACTCCACCACTGCCCCACACTCTCCACCTGCTCCTTGTGCATGACCTGCCCCACTGACGTCGGCTCCGTCACCAGGCTGCAGAGAATCCAGTCACCAATCTCTGCAGGCCCACAAGTTGCCTGAGGGCTTGTTGTTGGGTTGGGGCAGTCCCTAGGGTGGACTGCCTGCCCTGGCTGAGCTGGATTAAATTGGTGCTCTAGTGGGTGGGGCAGACCCTGGGCTAGCGGGCCCCAGGGAGAACTCCCATGGCATCTGGGTCAGAACGCCCACACCAGGCCACGACAATGGCTGCTGCCAATGTCCCAGTCCCTGGTGAGGTCTCACCTCTCACTGTGATGCACTTAGAGTCTATCAGGTGAGTCTCCTTTCACCGAAGCACTGTCCCTCTTTCTTTCTGGTAATTTTAGGTTGCTTTCTGAAATGGATGAGTTTGCACGTGGGCCCTTTAAGAGCCGGTTTTAATTTCTTTGTGAACCAGCTTTTCTGGGGGTACTCCCCCATGTTTTAGTCAGATAAGACTAAAGTGGCATCTGACTTTAGGCAAAGTCAGATATTATGCCACTTGTCTTAATTGCGCTGGGTCCACAAAATGCCCACAGCAGGGGCGCTCCCGGCTCAGGGTCCCGCTCCTCCAGGGAGGGCTTTGTACCATTGGGCTGCTCCGGGACGGCTGTGAGGCACTGCAGCTCATGAAGGTGGTGTTTTTTCTCTCCAGAAGGGAGTTTCTGCCTGTTCCACCTCAATTAGGACTGTCCTTTGTTGCAGGAGTTCCTCTTATCCAGTTTTCAGTTCTCTCTCAGGGATAATTTTTCCATGAGTAGTTGTAAATTGGCTGTGTCCGCGGGAGGAGGTGAGTTCAGAGTCCACCTATGCTGCCATCTTGACTTCTTTCCCCCATACTGTCATCTAATGTAGTGTGATGTTTATGGAATGTGCTAAGAGCTATGGAGTGCAATCAGAGCCCCTAATTCTTCCCCAAAAGCCCTTAGCCACGAGAGTAAGGCAAGCCTTGTTCTCCTGACACTTCTCAATCCATCCATCTTTCCTCAGGGCCTTCTCTGACCCTTTTTTGATTTTATCACTCTATTGTTGCTTGCACTGCACAATAATGATTTGTTTATAGTCTGTGGGCCTTAAAAGTCAGGAGCACATCAATGGTAGAGCAGGCCTTCAAGAATGTTTTCAGCATTAGTCGGGGAGCACCTTGACTGGTAGCAGAGACCAGCTGGTTGTTCTCCCTCACTAATGTAGGCTCCAGGACTTTAAGCTGGAACAGCTGAATACAGCAGATTTGGAAATCATGTGTCATTGAGCAATACAGAAAAGTAGCGCTCTGCTGACAGCTAGAGTCTGATGTAAGATAGAACTTGTACACATCAAGGAGCTGATGAGCAAAATTAACAATGAGTAACCTTTCTTAATCTAAGTTAGTGCTAGGCTATCCCCTCCAATTCTTATGACTCTTATTCATGACACATGGTTGAATACCAAGATTATTCAAGATCCATTTTTTTTACAGTTAGTCCCTTAACCATGTTAACTAATCTGACTCACAAATAGTATTTTAAAATTATAAACTTGACACTCCATTAATATCAAATTATATTCACTCCTTTGGCAAAAAGCTCACTACCTAATTGACTGAATGCCTTTAAAGTATTCTGAAGATGTGGCTGTGAGAGACAGAATAGTCACATAATTGGGGCACCAAGCCTAGCAGACATTAAAACAAAATATAAAGCCACAATACATAAGTCACTTTATACCAGAACAAAAATAGACTTATTTTTATAAATAAGTGGAACAAAATAGATATTAATAAAATAAAGGTTATTATAAATGAAAATAAAAGTATCTTACATATCAATATAATAACTGAGACATCATCGATCCATGGTGAAGGAAAAGATGATCAAATAATATAGGTAGCATTGAAAAAAATTTAGAACTTTTCTTTTTATCTTACAATAAATACCAGATATAATAAAGAGTTAAAAGTTTTAAAAGTTAACATAGAAAAACTAAAGTAAAAAAATGAATATTTATCAAACAGCTAGAAGGCGGCCAACTTTTTGAACTTTATGATAGAGAAAATCATAAAAGGTCAACAAATTTGACTTAGAACTTATATATTTTGAAAAGCAAATAAGGCGGCAGGAGACAGATGAGAACTATGTGAAAAATATAATGACGGGTTAATAGTGCTATCATACAAATAGCAGTAGTGGTGGTTGTGGTAGTAACAGTCGTAAAAGTTAACATATACTGAGCACTTAATACCACCATTCAAAGATTAGATATAGTTTCTATAACTATGTAAAAACTTAGATGCATGGGAAAATGTACCAGAAAGGAATGTATCAAAGTACTTCAGGGTAGTAGGATTATGTGTAGTCCTACTGTTCTGTTTTATCAATTTTCTACTGCAATTATATTACTTTTATGAAAAAATATTAAGTTGTATAGAAGAAAACCATATTTTGCTGAGTACACAAGATAAAATGAGATTGTGTGAGTACAACCAAGGGCTTTTTATAATAGAAAAAGACTGTGTACTGAAAACAATCAGGATGAATGGTCACTGGCTGAGAGCTCCTGTCCGATCATGTTGTGTGCTCTGCTGATGTTTCTTTGGCTTTTGTCTTCCCTTTAGGCACACATGATGCTCTTATAGTTGGTAAGTTTTATGAAGGGTTTGCTGAGGAACTCTAGCAACTTTAACAGTAAGTATCCACTTTAATGAATGAAATGTAAAAAGACAGATCAAAATATCTTATACTGCAATTTCAATCAGAAAGAAAATAATGATCAATTCAGGACATGGTGTGGCAAAACTGATATCTTCATATGCATATAGAGTGAGTGCCTTTTATCAAAAGTTCTATACTATCTTTGAACCATTATAAATAAACCATCATTCTTATTTTAATGTGGTGGGAGAATGCAACTTCCCCTTTCATTTACAACCTGGGAACATTCTTCAGGATGGTAGTCGCACCCATTTACACAAATTGAAATCCACAAAGAACAATTTCTTAGCCCATTTCTGTGATCTGCCTGTGTAAGAGGAATAGTTTTGTGATAGAGTTTGCTTCAAAGGGAATTGGCAAAGTCTCTTGTATAGAGTAGCTCCTGCCTTGTGCATTCCACAAGAGACACATGCAGGGCCAGGGAGAGCTGGAGCCCAGTAGCTCCAGTACCATTATCACCTACTTGTTGAAAGGCTGCTAGTGGACTAAAGGTTACAAAACTGCTCTGCTCACCCCTTTTCTATAACCCTCTGGTGGTAAGACTAATGTGCTAGATTAAACCAGAGCAGAGGGGAAATATTAAAGGTGAGCCCGTGTGGGGTGTTTTTTAAAGCAGACTTTGTAGTTACATTTAAAAAAAATCATTGACAACCTCTAGTGGAACTAGACATTAAGAGAGAGTTTAAAATCTAGGGGTTATATTCTCCATGCATTTAATGACCTGTTTTACTGCCTAGGCACATTCTTTGGTATGATCTTCTTTATTGTACCCATCATTGTTTCCTGTTGGATAGTTCTAAAGCGCAAAAACGGGTAAGTAGAGCCATATTCTCCTAGAAAATATTTATTACTGTACTTGCCTCTCTTTGGAAACCAAAGAGAAGTAAAACAAAACCTCAAAAAGAAAAAAAAAAACCACTACCACATAAACAGATGTAGTAATTCTTCTAGAGAAGGCCCTTGACACACATTAGGGATAGTGAAGTACTCACACTAAAAGAAATAAATATATATGATACCAAGAACACATTTATAAAAACCTTAGAATTTTAAGAAGGACTCAAGTTTTACAAAAGGGAAAAGGGGCAGAAGGAATTTTCGGAAAGGTGTTGAGGAGGCCGTTGGTATTCCAGTTTTGCTGAGACATTCCAGACTCTGAACTCTAAACACAGACCCTATCAGGGCTCTAGAAGTTAGTGGGTCCCACTGGCACACATCACAGAGTGCCAGTGTGGAAGAATTGAGGCTTTGATTTGGGTATTGAAAAAATAAATAAATATTTTATGAACACTATTTACTTTCTAAACTTGCAAAAGGCTTATAAGGATTAAGATCTAAATAAAGAAACATTTTTGATTGGAAAGAGAACATACACAGCTTTTGTACGAGTTAATTTAATTAGAACAAAATCAGTGAGGTTGATGTCAATGAGATCAATATTATAAGCTTGAGGAGCAAATTCTATACTCATGAGAAACAGTCTATAACTTTAGGTGAACAGTTTTCTAAAAATGTAGTCTCCTAAGGAAGGTTTACAGAAACTGAAGTCTTCATATTTCACAGAGGATGCCAATATAAACTTTTTATTTATTTATTTATTTTTTTGTGAGGAAGATCAGCCCTGAGCTAACATCCATGCTAATCCTCTTCTTTTTGCTAAGGAAGACCAGCTCTGAGCTAACGTCTATTGCGAATCCTCCTCCTTTTTCGCCCCCCAAAGCCCCAGTAGATAGTTGTATGTCATAGTTGCACATCCTTCTAGTTGCTGTATGTGGGACACGGCCTCAGCATGGCCAGAGAAGTGGTGCATCGCTGCGCGCCCAGGATCCGAACACGGGCCGCCAGTAGCGGAGCGCGCGCACTTAACCGCTAAGCCACGGGGCCAGCCCCAATATAAACTTTTTAAAAAGCAGAACATCACAGCAGAACTTCTTGCAAACAATCTAGTCATTTCCTCCTTCTCCCCTGCAGTGGGCTTTCCCACACTCTATTAAATGATCTCTTGTCATCTTGGTCTCCACTACACTCCTCACCATCCCCCGCCCAGATAATGAGCTCATTGTGAGCAGGGACCACCTATAGGCACTCAAAATAATTTTTATTTAATGATTTCTGATCTCCACTTGTACAGTAATCAAGATTAATGATAAAAATAGCAACAGCTAACATATTTGTTTACAAGATGCTTTACCATTTAGTGTCTTCTTTGGTCTTCAAAGCAACTCTGTGAGGTAGGTAGGCCCGACAATGTGATTATCCCAAAGCAGAGAAGATTCTGAGGTGCAGAGAAATTCAGTGACTTGCTTAAAATCATACCAGGAGGAAGTTGTTAAGAGTTAGGGCTTTAGTCCAGATTACCTGACTCAAGATCTTGAACCCATTCGGCTACTCCATTGATAATTTTAGTTGCCCATTTCTGAATCTGATTCTGTATCACTGAAATTCAGTATCCTAAACTGCGTATAGTACAAAGATGGAATATTTCCTTTTTTCTTTCAGTATCCCCTTTTTTCTCTGTTTTATTGGGTTTGTTTTAGCTACTCTGGTATATTAAGCCAGTATCTTTCTAGAGAACAGTATACAGTCTCTCCTTTTGTACTCTGTTCAGTGTAATTAGCCTATAAGAAGATTACAGTATTTCTGTAAGGGCCCCTGTCCATATTAAGGCTTAGTGAAAACTTTCCTGTCGGTTCACACACACTTGCAAACTCTTTCTGTGATTTAACATCACTGGCTTGACATTTCAAACTAGTGACACAAATGCTGTTATCTGCTCAGTTGATATTTCACTGTGTATTTACTACATCAATAACTCATGACAAATGTTAACCAAGATAAGTCTGCACTGATCACTGAGGACTGATATTGTTGGACTCCTCCATTCAGAGCCCATTTATCCTTGCCTCATGTTCCTGCCTCTCATCCATTCCCATTTCTTTACAAAACAGCCTTCTTGTTCATAGATAAAACTTTAAAGATGTCATTGGTATGATGCTTGGAGTGACAACACTATTACATCCACTCTCTGTAAAGCCTCCCTGCATTACCCTGTGTCCACACTAACCACCATTAACCAACTGGATAGGCATTCCTTCAGCATCCACTCACTAGGGTGGTATTCTCACACCCCATGTACCACTCATCATCCACAGCCACTTTTAGGCCATTCCTCCTGGAACCACTTAGTCACTGCTCCTTGGAAGCCCATGCCACCTGGCTGTACAACCCTCTCCTCTGCCTCATGCATGGATCTCAAGTTTGCACTTCCTCATGCTGTGAACACTGGCTCCTGACTCACAGTCTTCCTCTGTCTCAAGTGGTGCTGTCCTTCTAATGTCCCTGGAGGGTAAAGAGGGACTGAGTAATGAGGAGGTACTGGTAAGGGGTGGAGTGAGTTAGCTCTTTGTGTTTCCATTCTTAAATCCCTAAAGCCAATGCATACCTGAAATCTAAAGGTACTGGTATGGTATTATTTGTCATTTCATTTATGTAAAATGAAGTGCTTATTAAATAACACCCACAGAGGCAGAGTCGCAGACCAGGTAAGACCATGGGCTTTGCAATCAATAAGCCCATGTGTTCATACTCCCTCACTAGTTCTGAGACCCTGACCGAGATAGTGATCCTCTCTACACTTCACTTTCCTTGCCTGTAAAATAGGGATAATAGTTCCTACCTCACACAGTGACTTGCTTATGATGAATGTCAGAAAATGTCAGCTATTGTTATTTACACATGATTGTTATTACTGACATTTAAAAGTAATTAAATACTTCTTTTTACTCTCAGTTCTCATGTACGTTCATGACAACTAGTGCTGTTCTCCTAACTGTAGGTATTAATTGTACAGAAAACAGAACTTATATCTTCACTGTAAGGGGAAAAAGGAAGCCTTGTATAAGACTGCTGTGCAAAGCTACTTATATTGTGAAGCTTAAATGTGACAGTCTTGTGGTAAACAATATTTGCTAATCAAAATTACTTTGCATTGAGATAACCAGGTGTTCTATTAGCTTCATGTACTTGTTGTATATCCAATTCTTTCCACAGGTTTGGGAAATTCTCAGCTATTATTTCTTTAAATAAGCTCTCTGCTCCTTTCTCTGTTTCTTTTCCTTCTGGGATACCCATTATCCTTATGTTGCTTTTCCTAATTAAGTAAGATGTTTCTCATAGAATTTCTCCATTTTTTGAAAATCTACATTCTGTCTCCTCTTCTACCTGAAACATTTCTAGATTTCTATCTTCAATCTTGCTAATTTTCTCTTCCATATGGTCTGCTCTATTTCCAATGTTTTCTACTTTATTCTTCATCTCATTAATTGTGTTCTTCAACTCCAGAATTTTTGTTGTTTTTTTTTGTTAGTTTCATTCTTTTTGGTGGAGTACTACTTTTGTTCATTATTTTATTCCTGAGCTCATTAAACTGTCTTTCTGAGTTTCCTTATACTTGTTGAGTTTCTTCATGACAGCTATTTTGAATACTCTGTTGATTAGATTGCAATCTTCTGTGACTTCAAGTTTGGTTTCTGGAGAATTGTCATTTTTCTTTCTGTGCTAATGTGTGACTGTAGTTCTTCACGGTGCTTGATCAGTTGTTCCTCTGCTGGTGCTTTTGTATTAGTAAACACGTTTCTTAAATGGGTAAGACTTTGGCTACTTTGATTCTGGGCTGCTTCTTTTTTTTTTTTAATTTTTTGTTTATTGCAGTAACATTGGTTTATAACATTGTAAAAATTTCAGGTGTACATCATTGTACTTCTATTTCTGCATGGACTACATCATGTTCACCACCAAAATACTAATTACAACCCATCACCACACATGTACTGAATTATCCTTTTCACCCTCCTCCCTCCCCCCTTCCCCTCTGGTAACCACCAATCCAATCTCTGTCTCTATGTTTGTTTATTGTTGTTATTATCTACTACTTAATGAAGGAAATCATACGGTATTTGACCTTCTCCCTCTGACTTATTTCACTTTGCATTATACCCTCAATGTCCATCCATGTTGTCACAAATGGCTGGATTTCATCGATTCTGGGCTGCTTCTGGTTGAATTCGAGAGCCTGCATTTTCCACCCTCCACTGCCTCTGCCAGAGGCATCGTCAGTGCCCTCATTGTACTGCTTGTGCCTCTGAGATTGCTGTTGCCTTGCTGCTTACGATGTCACTGTAGTCACAGGTGTCACCACCAGGGTCACCAGGCTGGGAACACCTCTGCAACTTCTGGGGTCCCCTGGGTCTAATGTTCCCCCACTGCAGCAGAGAGGAGGGGGAGAGTGGGGCAGGAGTCAAGGTCACAGGCATCTCCACCCAGAGGTTTGTTGGGCCTGCAGGCACTGCTGATAGGGGTGGGGGGGCTGAAGTTGTGGGCACCTGTGCATCTGGGGAAGATCAGGGTCAAGGGCTCTGCTGTTGCTGTTACCTGGCTCCCGCAGGCTGTCCAGAGGCTCAAGTGTTGCTGCCGAATATGCTGCCTGTGCTGCTCTGTGTTATCTGGGGGTGCTGGCAGCGCTGCTGCTGGGTGACTCAGTTCACAGGTGTCACCACTGCTGCCAGGGGCCTGGCGTCTTGTATGCAGTCGTTGCTGCTGGTAGGGCTGGTATTGAGGGTGCCACCACTGAGGGCTGGGTTGCAGGAACTGCTGTGGCTCCTGAAGCCTCAGGTCGCAGGCACCACCTGCCACTGCTGGAGGAGGGGGAGGGGCTAAGCCACGAGTACTGCTGTGGCTCTTACAGCCTCTCGTCTCCAGCGCCATGTGCTTTTCGAAACCTCAGGTCACAGGCACCACCACTGCTGCTGGGGGTA